AGCAATTATTTCTGATTTCATTTTTCCCAGATCCTCTTTTGTTGCCAGTTCAGAGAGTCCAGGTGGTTGAGTATCAGATTGTTCCATCTTGTTTCTCGTTGGGATTCCTGTAGGTGATCCAGAAATCTGTTTTTGAGGCTTGTTTACATGTCTTCTCATTTTCCCGGGGGGGAGGGGGTGCTTCTGGTGCCTGCATGGCTCACCTTCTCTGCCCTAGGAGCCTGGGATGGCGGCGGGGGAGCTTCCTTCCAGGTTCTGGGACCAGCTCACCTTCTCTGCCCTAGGAGCGTGGGATGGCGGCGGGGGAGCTTCCTTTCGGGTGCTGGGATGGGCTCAGCTTCTCTCACTTATATTTATTTTTGATAATTTTTCTAACTAATTTCAGATTTTATCTTTATTAGTTTTTTGCCATAATTTTCTTCAAGTTTAATTTGAGCAATTGCTTATTAGAGATACTAATTTCCCCTAGTTCCAGCCTGGCTTCTGTAATAGAGTTCAAAGTTTTTCCTTATAGTCTTTAGTTGTATCTTGCAGATTTTCTATGAAGTATTTTTTCTCCTCCTCCTCCTTCTCCTCTTCCTCTTTAGTTCTTGAAATAGTTTGTATTTATATATAACATTTTCAGGGAGTTTTATCAAGAATAATATCTCTTCTTTTTATTAGTGGCAATGCAATTTTCTTTTTGATCCAGGAATAGAGAGCATTTTTTGATTTACAGGTACATAGTAAAATTATTTTGGCTTATTTTCTTGCTAGTTGTTTCTATTGTTTTATCAGAGAATGTGGTCTATAAATTGATACTTTTGACTTCAATATAGATTTCTCTATAGCAAACTGAATTTTTAATTTTTGCAAATGTTCCATGGATCAACTAAGAGAGGAATATTTTCTACTTATATGATGCAAAGTTTTATAACTATGTGTTATATCGAGTGTGATGTTTTTGCAAATTCCTCTATGCATATACTTATTTTTAATTTACTGGCAGTACCTAATTTTGTAAAAGGTATATTCTAACAGCTCACTGTTTTTTTTTTTTTTTGGTACGGGGGATCAAACTTGGGATTCTGTGTTTGCAAGGCAGGTGCCGGAACCACTGAGCTAAATCCCCAGGGCCAGCTCACTGTATTTTTATTCTTAGTCAAGTTTTCCTAAGAGTTTTAAAAGGCTATATTTCATTTTTCTTTGAAGTTATATTGTTTAATATCTATAGATTTATGATTACTACATCATCTTTGTCAATTTTCCCAAATTTAATGTATAAACTCAATAACATTTTATTTAGAATTCTAACAGTTTAAAATGTTAACTTTATTATGAAGCTTAAATTTAAAATGGAAGAAGCAGTGCCTGAGACTATGTAAGAAAAGTATAAACACTGAGGGGCAACATCATCAGATATTAAAATATACTGTAAAATGATTATATCTTGAATGAATGACATTCAGATAGGATTAGATAAATAGGAGAGTAGAACATAACAGAAAGCCCAGAATCAGATCTCAGCATGTACAGAATTTAACAAATGACAAGCTGGTGTTTAAATTCAAAGGGAAAGGATGGTTTACTTAATAAATGATGCTGCCACAATCAACTGTCCATCTGGAGGGAAATAAAGTTGATTTTCTACTATACCTCATACTAAGCCCCAGAATAAATTCCAGATGGATAAAAATGTTAATGTAAAAATAATCCTTATTGACCAAATTTATGATACTATATCTGTAGCTGAAAATTAAAAAGAGTTACAAACTAAATAGAAATCTCAGATGCTAAAAGACTAGACAGACATAATTTCCTTTAAAAAATATGCATGGTAAAATACGCCATGAAGTGTCTATATATGACAAATAATAGGTAAGGAAAAAGCATTAGCAATGCCTATGACAAATAAAGAGTTAGTATCTTTGATATACAAAGAACTCTAACACACTGATACAGTATGACAAGGGAATATAAAACAGAAGAGCAAATTACTGAGACCAATAAGAAGGAAAAGATGCTAAGCCTCACTAATAGTCAGTGAAGTAAAAATTAGAGATGCTGCTTATTAAATTCCCTTCCTTTAGGCCTCTGACTGAAGTTTCTAAATTAAAGAAGAAATACAGTTTATCTCTGATGGAGTCAGACATTTAAACCTTAGGAGGAAGGTGAGATTTCTGCCTTGCAGAAGCACAGAGTGAATATGGGTCTGGAATCCTCTGAATCACTATGGACAGGAATGCAGCCCTTGGGACCCTCCTGGGAGTGGGAGGATACCTTTAGCATCACCAGGGACCTGGCCCAGGCACAGTGTCCCTAGGTGCAGCTTCCCCATCACCACCGGGACAATTCCCATAGAGAGAGAGAGGTGCCTCTGTGCGATGCTAGTCTGCAGCACTTCTTTAGGAATGGGCCTGGGGCTTCTCTAACTTGTGCATACCTTCAGTTCATTGCCAGACAGCGGCTTGAGCTCCACTCGGCAAAACACAATTGAATTCCTAACCTTCTTTATCCCTCTGCAAAAGGCAAGGTCCTCTCCAACAGATGATGGAAGAGGTCACTGAGGTGGGAGACCATCTGAGAAGCTGTGGTTCCCCTCCCAGCCCAAATTGGCTTCTTCCTTTCTGCTCATCTTCTCATAGCCTTCTGTGGCCCCAAACAGACCAGTTTAATCTTCTCTACTCTGCAGCTCACTCCACCGCACCCAAACTTGCCCAAGGAACTCTTAGGAGAGCAGAAACTTTTTCCTTGGGGGACCTGCTCTTACCATCCTTCCATTCTCGTGTGGCTGGATTGATGATGCCAAAGAGTTCGTCATTTGTGACTGCTTTGGGATTGAGGTCAGTCCAGACGGGGCGGCGCTTCATGATCTGATAGGTCTTGTGCAAGGATCTCAGCACTTGTGACTTGCCAGTGCCGGTGGCACCCACCACAAACACAGAGTGCCGCACAGCCAGCAACTCCTCCAGCTGGACCACCTGGGGAGACATCCAGAGGGATGGATTTGTCATCACCTACCCACCAACCGCTCTTCAGTGAGCCAAGCTGCTGTCTGAAATGAGATCAGCCCTGAGTGAGGCAGGTTGTGGTAGGAGATCCCGAGTCTGCTCTCAGAGTGACCACGGTATTTCTCCTGGGACTGGTAAGGAGGAGGGTAGTAGTGGTGGAGACGGTGACGAGGTGGGGCTCTGGTGCCAAAAGACTGTGTCTGGTGCTGACAGGAGACTGTATCTTATCTAGGAGTCTTATATTCTCAGATTTTTTTTCTCATGGCAAGCAGATTGAACAGTGCCACCAGACAGACCCTTATACTGCTAGGAATTAAAGCCACTTTGTGGTTCCATTGATTTTTAAAAATTAATTTGAACAACATTATTGAGATATATTTTATGTACTATAAAATTCACCCTTTAAAAGTGTACAATTCAAGGGCTTTTAGCATATTCACATAACTTTACAACCATCCAATTTTTGAACATTCTCATCTCCCCAGCAGGAAACCCATATCCTTTAGTAGTCAGTCTTCATCTTCAAGTCCTTACCCAGCCCTAGGCAACCCCTGATGTAAATTCTGCCTCCATTGTTTTGTCTATTCTGGACATTTCACAGAAGAAGAATCATAAAATATGTCTTTAGTGAATGGCTTCTTTCATGGAATATGTTTATACCTCCTCACTCAACCAGGATACTTTCATTCTTTTTTTTTTTTCTGTTTTGTTTTTTGAGAGAGGGTCTGACTACATAATTTAGGTTGGCCTTGAACTTACTGTATAGCCCAGGGTGGCCTCAAACTCAAAGCAATCCTCCTGCCTCAGCCTCCTAAGTGCTGGGATTATAGATCTGAGCTACTATGCCTGGCCACTTTCATTCTTTACTCTTAGCCCTTAAAATCCTATTATGACCTGTATCTGTATAAGTCTATGAACATTTACTCTGTTCAGTACTGAGTCTTTTTGGTCCAGACATACAGCTCTAGTAGGTTTTCTACAATCTCATTGGTAACATGTTGGATAACCTAGCTCAGTGTTCTATTGTCATCTGCCTCTCACACTCTGTGCCTGTTTCTTTCTGTATGTACTTATTTTACTGTACATAAACATAAATACATAAAGAGTTTCATCCCAGGAGACTCCTTTGACTTTATTTCCAGTCCTCTTGTTGAATTTTGTGTGTCACCACTGATACTGATACAATTTTACATTTCAAAGAGCTCTGTAAAATTCTCCAACAGGTCCTTTTGAAGAAGACATCCAATTCTTGTTCTGTGAGTACAATTTTCTTTATTTTCTTCAAGGATACTAATGAGAACATCTTAAACGTTCTCTTTCTTATGTTCACTGGGGTCAGTTGTGTGTGTGCAAGTGTATGTGAATGTGTCGACCTTGATCTCTCATGGTGTTGAATTACTCCAGTAGTTGGCAAGCCAAGTTTTTTCCTACATTCTTTTTTCTTTATTAGTATATGTTAGAGATACATAAGATTTACATTCATTTTGGGGAATTGCTATATCTACATATCTGCATTTAGAGATACATCTCTCACATCCTAATCATTTTTACTTCCTCTTCCCCCTCATCCCTCGCCTCCCCTTCTCCTCAGAGCCCCTTTTCATCTCCACAAAGTATAATATCTCTGTTTCACATCATCTATCTTTAATTTTTTTCTTTAAATTATTTATAGTCTAGGTTTCTCACAAAAGAGAACCCATGCAATATTTAACCTTCTGTGCCTGTTGTTTTCACTTTCACTCTTCTGCTGGCCCTTTTCTTTCTACCCACAATGCCATCCTGCTCCCCTCTAACTTTCAACAGTCTTTCCACTGGACTTGGGAAAAGGGTAGTGAGAAGTGGGGAAGGGCCAACCCACAGAAAGAGTCACAGCTGCAGAGGACCAGGAAATGTTTTGCTCTCTTCTGTAAAAAGAAATTCTGGAAATGAAAGCAGATAGCTACTTATAATGGGAAACAGATATTCTAATTCACTCTTAATTCTATTTATATATAACCAAGGCTCAAACTCTACCACCAAAAGTATTGTGTGCTAGAAACACCTCCTGGAGGGCCTAGAAGGAACCTGCCCCTTTGCTCTAAGTTCTGCTAAGGAGTGCATGCTCTCCCCCATGAACTATCCCAGTGGAATATCTTGGAGAAGTAATGGAGTTTCCATTCCCTCACCTGTGAAAAAACTCACCTGCATCATTTGCCTCAAGGGCTGTTGGGGCTTGGGGAGGGGCTCAAATGTGATATAGAATGGAAAGCCACTTGTGAACTCCAAAGTGGTTTTCACATGCTTCTTACACATATTACTGAACGGGAAAAAACATCTATCCATGCCTCTTAACTTCAGAACCCTTGGCCCTTTTCTGGTGGCAGTTGTCTCCTCTTGCTCGAAGGCATACTTGTTTGTATGAAGGGATTTCTACTTCTAACATTTTTTGCATCCTGAAGACATTAGCTTATACAAAATTGCACAGTAAAAATAACAGACTTCTGGAAAAAAGAATTGGGGTAGGCCATTCAAAATGTAGAGAACTTTGTATTCAAAGTCCTAAAAACTCAAAATGAATTCTAACCCAAATGAAATGCCAGTACAGTTAATTCCCTAGGCATTTTTTTTTTTTTTTTAGGTACCAGGGATCGAACTCTGTTCCCTAGGCATTTTCACCCTGCCTTGTGGTCAGTCCATCCCTTGCAGCCTTAATTTCTCATTGATCAAGATGTAGATCTTGAGTACATCTGATTCTTTTAGAGACCATTTTAATCACAATTAAGGATCTGATCCAAATGGAGCCTTCTTCATTAATGCACTGTTTTAACAGAAAGGGAGATGGCTTCCTGGGGTCCTCACGAACACTTGCAGCCTCGTCAGCAGACAGTACAAAGCACAATGATTCTACAGCCAGGAGTTACATTTGCAGTAAAGTTTGAGCTTTTTTCTTACACTTTTAAATGTATCTGTTTCCTATTGATACTCATGGTAGGAGGTATTCCATTCTTTCTTATTTTTCTTACCATGCATTGCACATTGAAGATCAGCAATAAAGACTGCTGAAATGAATTGTTTCTATCTATATGTATCAGCACATTAAAAAAATTCTTTGGACCAAGGACAAAGAATAACTGATTATCCAAGAAAAGAACTAAGAGGCAGAGAAGTCTTGAGAGGGAAAGCCTCACATACCTTGAGCACAAAGTTGTCCTCAGCTTGCAGCTTCAGGTCCACAACTGCCTTCCTCACCAAAGCCTCAAAGTTCAGGTCTCTCCTCCGGGGCACCTCCAGGGTGGGAAAGAGGTCCCCAATCAGGCCCATGAACACAGGCATGTCATCAGTCACAATCTTGGGGATGTTGAAGTCTCGTAAGGAGCGCATCAGGACCTGGTCTTCAGGCCGGTCAGGGTCTCCTCGCTTTAGTGATCCTGCTACCATGAGTACAGACTTGATGGCCCGCAGGCCCCAGTCATAGTGATCCTGTAGCAATGTGGGCAATCCAGGTTAGACCAAAGCTGCTGGGATGCAGAGTACCACACGGTCAGGGGACAAATTAAAGATAGTGAACATTACAGGTTACTTCTGAAGGCCAGGTAGAGGCATGGGAGATGACTGACAACTTGGAAAACTGTGACCACAAAATTCTAGCTCCTTATCTGGCATTACCTACTTTTGTAACTGTGAGGACACCAAAGCAGACACAGACCACACGAGGCTCCCAAACCGGGAGAAGGTGGTGGAATGTGGTGCAGAGTGTGGAGTCTGAACTCAAATAGACCTAGGTTCATGTCCCAAATTCTGTCACTTGCTTTGTAGCAGATCACTATTCAAAGAATGCCACAAAGGAAAAATTTTTTGTGCAATAAAGACAAAAGGCATGGAGATTGTACCTGAGGCTGTGGATCAGATTTCTCTGAGGGAAAGGTATTAAAGAAAATTGGAAGAGGTAGAATCCAATGCTTACACTCAGCTTACAGTTAAGAAAGAAGGGGGAAGAGGATGTCTACAGGCTCAGAGTGACATGAAAATCAATTTAATTCAAGAAACTCAAGGAAGACCAATGATGATGCAGCAAGGAAGGCCAAGGACAGAGCCATGAGTGGTAAGCTGTAGAGGTAAGCGTAGGTAGACCAGGCACCATACAGCTGTTAGCAGAGATGAGTTTGTTGGTCTTTACCCTAATACCAGTGAAGAGCATTTAAAAATAATTCCTCTAGTGAGTAGCTAAAGAATGGATTACAGGACTTGAAGTACAATTGTAGAAACTAGAACAGAGGCAGTTGCAGTAGCTTAATTGAGACACAGGTGTTGGAACTAAAGAGGTACAGTGAAAATAGAAAGAAAACGAGATTCATTTGAGAAATATCAATAGTGTGGAATCGACCCTAGTTTGTTCATAAGTAGATATAGGGCTGGGGAAGAGGAAAGTGTCAGTGGGATTCTCAGGGACCCGGCACTGACAAGTGACCACATCGTGGAACATGGGAGAAATCGGCTGGGGTGGAGTTGGAAAGGGAGAACAGATTCAGATGTGCTGAGCTGAAGCTCTTTGTAAAGACCTGTGGTGTAGAGCATTGATTATACAGGTTTAGAGCTGAAAAGAGAGGTTGGGGATAGAGCTGTGAAGACTGGAACATAACTGACCTGGTAGTCAGTGGTGGTAGAGAACCAAGAGAGCATACAATAGGAAAGAAAATATGAAGACCTTGGGACTTTTTCCCTCTTGAACAGATTTCACAGGGATGAGAGAGCCTGTGTTGTGCCAGCAAAGGTTATCAGCACAAGATGACCCCAAAGGGAAGGTGAAACTGATTGGGAATAGCTCAAGAAAGCTTCTTTGCTATCCTTGCCATCATGCAATTTCCCAAGGCATAAACCTTGCAGATGCTTGGTCCCGGGGTTCCTTGTGAGAGGACCAGCCTTAGGCAGAAGCCACAGGTAAGGCCAAGCAGCACAAGGAAACCTGGGGCTTCTTAGCACTAATTCTCTTCCTGACACCCTCTCCATCTCCTATCCATTCAGGTAGAAACCATTTCCTCCAGGAATTTTTCTTGGTGAGACATTGGTGTCTGTGAAATGCTGCTAAATATTACAATAAAAATAGGTTCTGTGCCCAAAAATATGCACACAAATTTTTATTGCAGAACTACTTAGAGATTTATTTATTTATTTATTGGTTTTGGGTACTGAACCCAGGGCTTTCACAATGAGCTGCATCCTCAGTCCTTTTTTATTTTTTATTTTGAGACAGGGTCTCACTATGTCCCCAGGTTGCCCAAGCTTGGCTTGAACTTGTGATTCTCTTGCTCAGGTCCCCATAGTACTGGGAGTTTGGCATGTACTACCATGCGCTTATGGGTACAGTGACTCTGTATAAGAAATGTCTAATGCATTGGCTCCCTGAAGATCCTACCTGTTTGGAGAGAAGTTCTTTGCACAACTGGTAAAGGGTGATGAACTTTCTGGCTAATATCCGGGCTTCAATGAATCCTTCTGCCACCAGCATGATCTCGCAGATCAACTCAAAGTCTGGGACAACCATCGCGCATGGCCTGTGTACAGGGAAACAGAAACTGAGCCCATCAGTTTCCCACTCATAGGCTCAAAGGGGAGACTAGAGGATAAGAGACACTGGCTGACAACAGTGAAAGAGGCATCTGTGGGTACAAATACACATGAAAGGACCTTTGGAGTCATTTCATCTAAGACTCCCAATTTCTTTTCTTTTTTTGTTTCTTTCTTTTTTTTTTTTTGCTTAAATTCTTTTATTAGTACATTTTAGGTATACAATACATTTACATTTATCATTGGGTGCTTGTA